GATGGATGGATGGATGGATGGATGAGAGTGGATGGATGGATGGATGGATGGATGGATGACAGACAGATGGATGATAGTGGATGGATGGATGGATGACAGACAGATGGATGATAGTGGATGGATGGATGGATGGATGACAGACAGATGGATCATAGTGGATGGTGGATGAATGGATGACAGATGGATGGATGACAGTTGATGGTGGATGAATGGATGGATGGATGAGAGTGGATGGTGGATGAATGGATGACAGATGGATGGATGAGAGTGGATGGTGGATGAATGGATGACAGATGGATGGATGAGAGTGGATGGTGGATGAATGGATGACAGACAGATGGATGACAGTTGATGGTGGATGAATGGATGACAGATGGATGGATGGATGACAGGCAGATGGATAATAGTGGATGGATGGATGGATGGATGACAGACAGATGGATGATAGTGGATGGATGGATGGATGACAGACAGATGGATGATAGTAGATGGATGCATGGATGGATGATAGTGGATGGTGGATGAATGGATGACAGATGGATGGATGAATGGATGTCAGACAGATGGATGATAGTGGATGGATGGATGGATGGATGAGAGTGGATGGTGGATGAATGGATGACAGACAGATGGATGATAGTGGATGGATGGATGGATGGATGGATGAGAGTGGATGGATGGATGGATGACAGACAGATGGATGATAGTGGATGGATGGATGGATGACAGACAGATGGATGATAGTGGATGGATGGATGGATGACAGACAGATGGATGATAGTGGATGGATGGATGGATGGATGGATGAGAGTGGATGGATGGATGGATGGATGGATGACAGACAGATGGATGATAGTGGATGGATGGATGGATGGATGGATGACAGACAGATGGATGATAGTGGATGGATGGATGGATGGATGGATGACAGACAGATGGATCATAGTGGATGGTGGATGAATGGATGACAGATGGATGGATGACAGTTGATGGTGGATGAATGGATGGATGGATGAGAGTGGATGGTGGATGAATGGATGACAGATGGATGGATGAGAGTGGATGGTCGATGAATGCATGACAGATGGATGGATGAGAGTGGATGGTGGATGAATGGATGACAGATGGATGGATGACAGTTGATGGTGGATGAATGGATGGATGGATGGATGGATGAGAGTGGATGGTGGATGAATGGATGACAGATGGATGGATGAGAGTGGATGGTGGATGAATGGATGACAGATGGATGGATGGATGACAGTTGATGGTGGATGAATGGATGGATGGATGGATGAGAGTGGATGGTGGATGAATGGATGGATGGGTGGATGAGAGTGGATGGTGGATGAATGGATGACAGATGGATGGATGAGAGTGGATGGTGGATGAATGGATGACAGATGGATGGATGAGAGTGGATGGTGGATGAATGGATGACAGATGGATGGATGACAGTTGATGGTGGATGAATGGATGGATGGATGGATGGATGAGAGTGGATGGTGGATGAATGGATGACAGATGGATGGATGAGAGTGGATGGTGGATGAATGGATGACAGATGGATGGATGGATGACAGTTGATGGTGGATGAATGGATGGATGGATGGTTGAGAGTTGATGGTGGATGAATGGATGGATGGATGGATGAGAGTGGATGGTGGATGAATGGATGACAGATGGATGGATGGATGACAGTTGATGGTGGATGAATGGATGGATGGATGGATGAGAGTGGATGGTGGATGAATGGATGGATGGGTGGATGAGAGTGGATGGTGGATGAATGGATGACAGATGGATGGATGAGAGTGGATGGTGGATGAATGGATGACAGATGGATGGATGAGAGTGGATGGTGGATGAATGGATGACAGATGGATGGATGACAGTTGATGGTGGATGAATGGATGGATGGATGGATGGATGGATGAGAGTGGATGGTGGATGAATGGATGACAGATGGATGGATGAGAGTGGATGGTGGATGAATGGATGACAGATGGATGGATGGATGACAGGCAGATGGATGATAGTGGATGGATGGATGGATGGATGGATGAGAGTGGATGGATGGATGGATGGATGGATGACAGACAGATGGATGATAGTGGATGGATGGATGGATGACAGACAGATGGATGATAGTGGATGGATGGATGGATGGATGACAGACAGATGGATCATAGTGGATGGTGGATGAATGGATGACAGATGGATGGATGACAGTTGATGGTGGATGAATGGATGGATGGATGAGAGTGGATGGTGGATGAATGGATGACAGATGGATGGATGAGAGTGGATGGTGGATGAATGGATGACAGATGGATGGATGAGAGTGGATGGTGGATGAATGGATGACAGACAGATGGATGACAGTTGATGGTGGATGAATGGATGACAGATGGATGGATGGATGACAGGCAGATGGATAATAGTGGATGGATGGATGGATGGATGACAGACAGATGGATGATAGTGGATGGATGGATGGATGACAGACAGATGGATGATAGTAGATGGATGCATGGATGGATGATAGTGGATGGTGGATGAATGGATGACAGATGGATGGATGAATGGATGTCAGACAGATGGATGATAGTGGATGGATGGATGGATGGATGAGAGTGGATGGTGGATGAATGGATGACAGACAGATGGATGATAGTGGATGGATGGATGGATGGATGGATGAGAGTGGATGGATGGATGGATGACAGACAGATGGATGATAGTGGATGGATGGATGGATGACAGACAGATGGATGATAGTGGATGGATGGATGGATGACAGACAGATGGATGATAGTGGATGGATGGATGGATGGATGGATGAGAGTGGATGGATGGATGGATGGATGGATGACAGACAGATGGATGATAGTGGATGGATGGATGGATGGATGGATGACAGACAGATGGATGATAGTGGATGGATGGATGGATGGATGGATGACAGACAGATGGATCATAGTGGATGGTGGATGAATGGATGACAGATGGATGGATGACAGTTGATGGTGGATGAATGGATGGATGGATGAGAGTGGATGGTGGATGAATGGATGACAGATGGATGGATGAGAGTGGATGGTCGATGAATGCATGACAGATGGATGGATGAGAGTGGATGGTGGATGAATGGATGACAGATGGATGGATGACAGTTGATGGTGGATGAATGGATGGATGGATGGATGGATGAGAGTGGATGGTGGATGAATGGATGACAGATGGATGGATGAGAGTGGATGGTGGATGAATGGATGACAGATGGATGGATGGATGACAGTTGATGGTGGATGAATGGATGGATGGATGGATGAGAGTGGATGGTGGATGAATGGATGGATGGGTGGATGAGAGTGGATGGTGGATGAATGGATGACAGATGGATGGATGAGAGTGGATGGTGGATGAATGGATGACAGATGGATGGATGAGAGTGGATGGTGGATGAATGGATGACAGATGGATGGATGACAGTTGATGGTGGATGAATGGATGGATGGATGGATGGATGAGAGTGGATGGTGGATGAATGGATGACAGATGGATGGATGAGAGTGGATGGTGGATGAATGGATGACAGATGGATGGATGGATGACAGTTGATGGTGGATGAATGGATGGATGGATGGTTGAGAGTTGATGGTGGATGAATGGATGGATGGATGGATGAGAGTGGATGGTGGATGAATGGATGACAGATGGATGGATGGATGACAGTTGATGGTGGATGAATGGATGGATGGATGGATGAGAGTGGATGGTGGATGAATGGATGGATGGGTGGATGAGAGTGGATGGTGGATGAATGGATGACAGATGGATGGATGAGAGTGGATGGTGGATGAATGGATGACAGATGGATGGATGAGAGTGGATGGTGGATGAATGGATGACAGATGGATGGATGACAGTTGATGGTGGATGAATGGATGGATGGATGGATGGATGGATGAGAGTGGATGGTGGATGAATGGATGACAGATGGATGGATGAGAGTGGATGGTGGATGAATGGATGACAGATGGATGGATGGATGACAGTTGATGGTGGATGAATGGATGGATAGATGGATGAGAGTTGATGGTGGATGAATGGATGGATGGATGGATGAGAGTGGATGGTGGATGAATGGATGACAGATGGATGGATGAGAGTGGATGGTGGATGAATGGATGACAGATGGATGGATGAGAGTGGATGGTGGATGAATGGATGACAGATGGATGGATGAGAGTGGATGGTGGATGAATGGATGACAGATGGATGGATGAGAGTTGATGGTGGATGAATGGATGACAGATGGATGGATGAGAGTGGATGGTGGATGAATGGATGACAAATGGATGGATGGATGGATGGATGACAGATGGATGATGGATGGATGAGATTGGATGATGGATGAATGGATGACAAATGGATGGATGGATGACAGACAGATGGATGATAGTGGATGGATGGATGGATGGATGACAGATGGATGGATGAGAGGTGATGGTGGATGAATGGATGACAGATGGATGGATGACAGTTGATGGTGGATGAATGGATGGATGGATGGATGAGAGTGGATGGTGGATGAATGGATGACAGATGGATGGATGAGAGTGGATGGTGGATGAATGGATGACAAATGGATGGATGGATGGATGACAGATGGATGATGGATGGATGAGAGTGGATGATGGATGAATGGATGACAAATGGATGGATGGATGACAGACAGATGGATGATAGTGGATGGATGGATGGATGGATGACAGATGGATGGATGAGAGTGGATGGTGGATGAAAGGATGACAGATGGATGGATGGATGACAGACAGATGGATGATAGTGGATGGATGGATGGATGGATGACAGATGGATGGATGAGAGTGGATGGTGGATGAATGGATGACAGATGGATGGATGACAGATGGATGGATGGATGACAGTTGATGGTGGATGATGATGCCCATACCTGCTTTGCGTTGTCTCAGACTACCAGGTGGAGGTGGAGGAGGGGGCGGAGTCTGTCGTGCTGCCCTTTAAAACAACACCTGAGCTGCTACGGGATATCAGGCTTATGTGGTGGCGCTTCCACCCTGGACCAGTACTGCTGATGCATGAAGGTTCTAATCAGCGTCAGAACCACAGAATCAGGATGAATGAAGACCGGCTGAGAACCGGAGACCTGAGTCTGACCCTGAAGAACCCCACAGAAAAGGACTATGGGAGCTATAGGTGTGGTGTCTGGAGAAGAGGAACCTTACTGGTGTGGACCACAATTCTGCTCACAGCTAAAGGTTGGTTTTGCTGGGTTCTGCAAGGTTATTTTGGGTTCTGCTATTTGACTGCCTGCTGTTTCCTCTGCAGGACGAGTTCAAGTTTCACCAGGATCTGAGGACCTCTGGACCAGGAGAAGCTCCATCGATATGACCCCCCTGATCTCTGATCAGTCAGATTAGAAACCAAACCAGACTGGTTCTGATAGACGATGGAGGACCCTGGTTCTGGTCTGGAGAGCCAAGAGTGATGCCATAGTGATATCACATGTTGATCAGCTGTTTGAACCTCACATGCAGCTGTTTTAACCCTGATCAGAGCTGTCCCCAGACACAAACATCTGGATCCAGATGTTCTGGGTGTCTTCTGCATCTGAGACTAGGATCCTGTAGTTCTGTGGAGATTGCGATAGAGCAAGACTCCTCTCTAAACAGGACATCTGAGGAGACAACAGACAGCTGATCCAAGTAAGAGGACTTCTGTTAGAATATGTCTCCGTGAAGGTCTCTATAGGTCCATTAGCACCTTCACATTCACTCTGTTTATCAGAATCGTGTCTGGCTGGTGGACAACTGTGTCTGCTGTGTGGTCAATAAGACCACCTACCCATGAGACCACCTGACCATGAGACCAAGAGACCACCTACCCATGAGACCACCTGACCACATAAGCATGAGACCACTTGACCATGAGACCATGAGACCATGAGAGCATGAGAGCACCTGATAGGCATCGATGAAACATGCCCAGTTGTTTTTGCATGTGCACACATGAGTGTAAATAGTAATGTATGTAAATGATTTCATTGTAAAAAGGACCAACAGAAGACAAGGACATCATGAAATGGTAACCAATAGGAGGTGTGTATGATGAACCTTGACCTCACAGATTACCCATAAAGAGGGAGCGTTTTTGTGATGACGTGGTTTGTACATCAAACACTCCAGTAAAACTCAGCTCTGATGTACGAGTCAGTCATTCTACTCTTTAAGCTGGGAATCTACTTGGTAAAATCTCGGCAACTCGCTTTGCCAACAGGTTATAGGCCCAGATACACCCAGGTACTGCCCAGATACACCCAGGTACTGCCCAGATACATCCAGGTACACCCAGGTACAGCCAGGTACACCCAGGTACTGCCCAGATACATCCAGGTACTGCCCAGATACATCCAGGTACACCCAGGTACAGCCAGGTTCAGCCCAGATACATCCAGGTACTGCCCAGATATATCCAGGTACTGCCCAGATACATCCAGGTACACCCAGGTACAGCCAGGTACACCCAGGTACTGCCCAGATACATCCAGGTTCAGCCCAGATATACCCAGGTACACCCAGGTACAGCCAGGTACACCCAGGTACTGCCCAGATAGATCCAGGTACTGCCCAGATACATCCAGGTTCAGCCCAGATATACCCAGGTACACCCAGGTACAGCCAGGTATACCCAGGTACTGCCCAGATACATCCAGGTACTGCCCAGATACATCCAGGTTCAGCCCAGATACATCCAGGTTCACCCAGGTACAGCCAGGTACACCCAGGTACTGCCCAGATAGATCCAGGTACTGCCCAGATACATCCAGGTTCAGCCCAGATATACCCAGGTACACCCAGGTACAGCCAGGTATACCCAGGTACTGCCCAGATACACCCAGGTACTGCCCAGATACATCCAGGTACTGCCCAGATACATCCAGGTACTGCCCAGATACATCCAGGTTCAGCCCAGATACATCCAGGTACTGCCCAGATACATCCAGGTTCAGCCAGGTACTGCCCAGATACAACCAGGTACTGCCCAGATACACCCAGGTACTGCCCAGATACATCCAGGTACTGCCCAGATACATCCAGGTTCAGCCCAGATACATCCAGGTACTGCCCAGATACATCCAGGTTCAGCCAGGTACTGCCCAGATACATCCAGGTACTGCCCAGATACATCCAGGTTCAGCCCAGATACATCCAGGTACTGCCCAGATACATCCAGGTACTGCCCAGATACATCCAGGTTCAGCCCAGATACATCCAGGTTCACCCAGGTACTGCCCAGATACACCCAGGTACTGCCCAGATACAACCAGGTACTGCCCAGATACACCCAGGTACTGCCCAGATACATCCAGGTACTGCCCAGATACATCCAGGTTCAGCCCAGATACATCCAGGTACTGCCCAGATACATCCAGGTACTGCCCAGATACATCCAGGTACTGCCCAGATACAGCCAGGTTCACCCAGGTACATCCAGGTTCAGCCCAGATACATCCAGGTTCAGCCCAGATACATCCAGGTTCACCCAGGTACTGCCCAGATACACCCAGGTACTGCCCAGATACACCCAGGTACTGCCCAGATACATCCAGGTACTGCCCAGATACATCCAGGTTCAGCCCAGATACATCCAGGTACTGCCCAGATACAGCCAGGTTCACCCAGGTACTGCCCAGATACATCCAGGTACTGCCCAGATACATCCAGGTTCAGCCCAGATACATCCAGGTACTGCCCAGATACATCCAGGTACTGCCCAGATACATCCAGGTTCACCCAGGTACATCCAGGTACTGCCAAGATACATCCAGGTACTGCCCAGATACAGCCAGGTTCACCCAGGTACTGCCCAGATACACCCAGGTACTGCCCAGATACAGCCAGGTTCACCCAGGTACATCCAGGTACTGCCCAGATACAGCCAGGTTCCGCCCAGATACATCCAGGTACTGCCCAGATACATCCAGGTTCACCCAGGTACTGCCCAGATACATCCAGGTACTGCCCAGATACATCCAGGTTCAGCCCAGATACATCCAAGTTCACCCAGGTACTGCCCAGATACATCCAGGTACTGCCCAGATACAGCCAGGTTCACCCAGGTACATCCAGGTACTGCCCAGATACATCCAGGTACTGCCCAGATACAGCCAGGTTCACCCAGGTACATCCAGGTACTGCCCAGATACATCCAGGTACTGCCCAGATACAGCCAGGTTCCGCCCAGATACATCCAGGTACTGCCCAGATACAGCCAGGTTCCGCCCAGATACACCCAGGTACTGCCCAGATACAGCCAGGTACACCCAGGTACTGCCCAGATACAGCCAGGTTCAGCCCAGGTACACCAAGCAGCTGCTGCCTTTGACACAGTTGATCACAAAGTTCTTTTAGAAAGACTTGAACATGTTGTAGGGATCAAAGGAACAGCGTTAGGCTGGTTTAAATCCTACCTGTCTGACAGATTTCATTTTGTAAATGTACATGACAAATCGTCTTCATACTCCAGGGTTACTTGCGGAGTACCACAGGGTTCAGTGCTTGGACTAATTCTTTTTACTATTTATATGCTCCCAATTGGTCAAATCATTAGACAGCATGGGATAAACTTCCACTGTTATGCTGACGATACTCAGTTATATTTATCCATTAACCCTGATGAAGCTAATCGGTTGGGTAGATTACAGGCTTGTCTTGAGGACATAAAAAATTGGATGACTCTAAACTTTTTGCTTTTAAATCAAGACAAGACGGAAGTTCTCATCTTTGGACCAGAAATCCAGAAAAGGAAATTGCTTAGCCAATCGCCTGACCTGAATGGCATTACATTAATCTCCGAGAACAAAGTAAGGAACCTTGGTGTTATCTTTGACCAGGACATGTCATTCAAATCCCATGTTTCACAAGTTTGTCGGATTTCCTTTTTCCACCTTCGGAATATTGCTAAGATTAGAAGCATCCTTTCCAGGAGTGATGCTGAAAAACTAGTTCATGCATTTATTACATCAAGACTGGATTACTGTAATCCATTACTCTCAGGAAGTCCACAGAATGTAGTTAAAAGTCTTCAGCTTGTCCAAAATGCTGCAGCTAGAGTTCTGATGAGAATTAAAAAGAGAGATCATATCTCTCCTGTCTTAGCTTCCCTACATTGGCTACCTGTTAAATTCAGAATAGATTTTAAGATCCTTCTTCTCACATATAAAGCTCTTAATAATCAAGCTCCATCATACATCAGTGATCTGATTGTTCCATATGTTCCTAACCGAGCACTTCGCTCTCAGACTGCAGGTCTACTGGTGGTTCCCAGAATATCTAAAATTAGGATGGGAGGCAGATCTTTTAGTTATCAGGCTCCTCTCCTGTGGAACCAGCTCCCAGCTTTAGTCCGTGAGGCAGACACCTTATCTACTTTTAAGAATAGGCTTAAAACATTTTTATTTGATTGGACCTATGGTTAAAATCTGATGTTAGCCTAAATCTGGACAAGTGGGGGAGTAGAGGGAGGTGGAGTGTACAGTCGGTAAAGACTGTGTGCGTGTGTGTGTGTGCGTGCGTGTGTGTGCATGTGCGCGTGTGTGTGCGTGTGTGTGTGTGTGTGTGCATGTGTGTGTGTGTGCATGTGCGCGTGTGTGTGCGTGTGTGTGTGTGTGTGTGTGTGTGTGTGTGTGTGTGTGTGTGTGTGTGTGTGTGTGTGTGTGTGTGTGTGTGTGTGTGTGTGTGTGCCACACTTTTCTTCATAAATCACATAGATCCAGCAGAAAATGACCCGGTAGTTTTCAGAGCCCGTTTCTTGCTTCTGTTTACGGTGTGAAGTGCGTTGACACGACTTGTCGTGATTCGGTGCTTTATGAATAAACCTGAATTGAAGCTAGTTAGATCTGACGAGTTTGATCGGAGGGACCTGGAGGACCTGCAGATGAAGCAACAAGAAGGTCATACTTACGTCTGACTAACAGCAGGATGGGGGCCCTACATGACCTCTGATCTCACACCTGTAGAGACCTTCCTCAGACCAGCTCTCATGCTGGAGGGTCATGTGACCTGTAGTTTGGTTTCCTATGATGACATCATCTTTATAGAAATCAGCTGTGAGGATGGGGGTGGAGCATTAGATTTACAGCTCATGTTGACGTTATGTCCATCTTTCATTGGGAGAACAGGACTCTGTAGGATCACTGCACTGACTTCTTTACCTGGAACCAGAAACACACCTGTGTTGGAAGTTTGGATGGTGAGGTATTAAGGTTATATACCGCGTGTACCTGAGTACCTGTACTAGGAGTATAGAGCTGAAATAGTTTAAAAGGGTTAAAAGCCTGTTTGCCTCCAGGTTCGTGTTCTGTTGTTCCAAGAGCTGCAGAGGACTTGTTTGTGCAGTCGGCTGCTGAGCCACGCTGAAGCAAGAACTGTTCATCAAAGCTGAGAACATTTTGGGAACTGGTAGGAAAAGTACTGACGTCAGGTCAAGCTGACCCGCTGTCTGCTTTCTCAAAACATCTTTTGACAGAACTGATTGTTTCTCAAGCCACAACAGGCGAGTCGATGCGGATTTTGGGAAGTCCCGTCTGTTATTGTACAGAGCAGGGGCGGATTTAGGACTGAAGAAGATCCGGGGCTTAACACACACTCACGCGCACACACACACACGTGCGAGTGCGCGCACACACACGTGACACGCACTAGTCAACATCATATATATGTGTCTTGTACCACATAATGTTTAATCTGAAGCTACATATTCAGCATTTTCAGGGCAGAGTATTGTTCCTGGTAGTGTTTAGTGTGAGATGATAGTAAATATTCCCGTTCTTTCTCCAACAACTTTACCTGATAGTAAGCTAACTTTAGGCAAACCAGCAGCACAACAAATATTTGCAAATAAGACTCACAAACCTGAGTCAGCACCAGTCTCATCAAAGCTGGGGTTCTGTCGCCGTACTTTTGGTCTAAAAAACGTCCTTATGTCCATCTTCACTCATGCGTTTCAGGCAGAGAGTGTAGAAGAAGCCGGCTGCTGAAGGGCTTCTTCTTCAGTGGTGGAGGCTCAGGCAGGCTGTATACAAACTACTGCCAGCAGCGCCCTCTCTGTTGGACTTTGGTACTGCATGCTACTTCCACCTTTTAGATCCGGGGCTTTTCATAAAACATCCGGGGCTTGAGCCCAAGTAGCCGGACCTAACGCCGCCCCTGGTACGGAGGAATCCAGCTTCGTGCCGAGGACTTGGCCAGTCCATCATTGTGTTGTAACACCGTTGGGATATCTCCAAGTTTGGGAAGATTTTCTGTTTCACTGTTGTGTAAGCACACGTATTTCTTGTGCTCGGAGCAGAAGTGTGAATGAAAGACCCCACTAAGAGTGGAGTCTCTGGTCCGAAGGCTGTCTGTGTGCTGTTGCTGGTTGTTTCATTAGAAGACCCACGCTGTCTGATGGAACAAGCCTGGTTTTTAAAACCACCACACCCTCTACACCGGCAGCTAACTTCCTGTACGGTAATGAACGTAAAACAGCATTCATCACGTTTCACCCAAACTGCAGCTCACATTTAGGTTCTACTGTCGGTTCGTGCACCTTCTCATCCCTCCAGAAGCCGGTTGTCACTGGCCTGGGGGTGAGACTTGACTCTGCTCTTAGACTGGACTCTCATGTCAACTCAGTGGTTCGGTCTGGCTTTTTCAGTTACGTCGCCTTAACAAACTCAAGCCTATTCTGTCCAGAACTCACTTGGAGCGTGTACTCCATGCGTTTGTGATCTCTAGGCTTGACTATAATCCCTCTATGCTGGGTTGGGTCAGACGCTTGTGCATCATCGGCAGTTAGTGCAGAAGAGTGCTGCTGGGTTTTTGACTGGAACTAGGAAAAGGGACCACATTTCTCCAGTGCTGGCCTCTCTTCACTGGCTACCAGTCTCCTACCGGGCAGAGTTTAACATTCTGCTATTTGTGTTAACGTTTTTCCGAGGCAGTGCCCCCACCTACCTAGCGGAGCTCTTAATAAAGCACGTTCCCTCAAGGTCATCACTGTCGGCTGACCAGAAATTGCTAATCGTCCCTCACACCTGATTTAAGACTCGTGGTGATCAGGCTTTTCAAGTCGTTGCACCCTCTCTCTGGAACCAGCTCCCGCTCACCAACAGTCCCATCACTGGCAGCCTTTAAGAGCAGGTTGAAGACTCATTTTTATAGGATGGTCTTCTTCCAATGCTGTTGGTTTCTGGTTTTTATTCTTTGTTTTGATTTCTTTTAACTACTTAATTTTAATTTTCTTTTACCTAAATTTGATCTCATTTGTATTTTATCATTCTCAGTAATATCTATGTTCTTATTTTTGTTTTTAGTGTTTTTATTACTTGCTACTTTTATCTTTGTAACTGTTCTTGTCCAACGCCTTGGGCCCTGATAGGGTGGCGGAAAGTGCTATAAATAAAGCATGATGATGATGACGATGAATACTCGTGAGTACCTGATATGTACCCGTGAGTACTTGTGAGTACCTAATATGTACCCATGAGTACTTGTGAGCACGTGGTATGTACTTGTGATTACATGTGAGTACCTGGCATGTACCCGTGAGTACTTGTGAGTACCTGTTATGTACCAGTGATTACTTGTGAGTACCTGTTATGTACCCGTGAGTACTTGTGAGTACCTGTTATGTACCCGTGAGTACCTGTTATGTACCTGTTATGTACCAGTGATTACTTGTAAGTACCTGGTATTACCTGTGAGTACTTGTAAGTACCTGGTATTACCTGTGAGTACTTGTGAGTACCTGATATGTACCCATGAGTACTTGTGAGTACATGTTATGTACCCGTGAGTACTTGTGAGTACCTGTTATGTACCCGTGAGTACTTGTGAGTACCTGTTATGTACCCGTGATTACTTGAGAGTACCTGTTATGTACCCATGAGTACTTGTGAGTACATGTTATGTACCCGTGAGTACTTGTGAGTACCTGGCATGTACCCGTGAGTACTTGTGAGTACCTGTTATGTACCAGTGATTACTTGTGAGTACCTGTTATGTACCCGTGAGTACTTGTGAGTACCTGTTATGTACCCGTGAGTACTTGTGAGTACCTGTTATGTACCCGTGAGTACTTGTGAGTACCTGTTATGTACCCGTGAGTACTTGTGAGTACCTGTTATGTACCAGTGATTACTTGTGAGTAACTGTTATGTACCTGTGAGTACTTGTAAGTACCTGGTATTACCTGTGAGTACTTGTGAGTACCTGATATGTACCCATGAGTACTTGTGAGTACATGTTATGTACCCGTGAGTACTTGTGAGTACCTGTTATGTACCCATGAGTACTTGTGAGTACCTGTTATGTACCAGTGAGTACTTGAGAGTACCTGGTATTACCCATGAGTACTTGTATGTACTTGTGAGTACTTGTGAGTACCTGGTATGTACTTGTGAGTACCTGTACATACTTGGGAGAAGTCATATCTATTTTCTCTTTGTGGATTCATGGATTAATAATCTATGGATCTTGTAAAACCACAGCAGCTGCTTTTTTCGTCACTAATTCTGACTAATTGGGGCAGACTGGGATTTGTGGGAGGATCCTGACATGTTTACCTGCTCAAACACACGACATCTGCAAGAAGAACGGACCTCCACAGAATCATATAAAGAACATTTATTGACAATATGCTTTAATTTAAAGCCACCAGACTAAATGGAGTGGGGATAAATCCAGGATTTGTACTTAAACATGAATCCAGATTAGATCTGCAGCTACATGCTGGGTTGTCTCTTCAACATCTGACAGAAGCAGCTTCACAATTTGCTCTCCAACGTCACGCTGGCCTTTTCTTGATTGGATGCATTATGGCTTGGAGGCGGAGCTTCCCCATCAGTCTCCTCTGCTGAGATTAAAATCAAAAACAAAAGTCTTCATGAAGCAAACATGGATGAGAAGAGCCAACATTTGGTCCAACTGCAGTAAAGCAGAGAGACTAGAGGAGGTCAGATCCATGAGCTGGTCTCCAACCCTAACCCTAAAGATCTGATCTCCTGTTCCTGTACCCAGTCAGGGTCTCTGGCTATTTTTGGGCCATTCCCACCTGTACCGGGTCGGCCCGGGCCGGGTAGCGTAGGTTGTTTACATATCTGGGTGGCCTGGAATTTTACCAGGCCAACCAAGGCTCATTCTTGGCCCTCTTCCCAAGGGGTACTGCTTCAGGCCGACCAGGGCCAACACACCCACTGCTGACAGCAAATTCACACCTTCCATTAGAGCAAGCCTCTGATTGGTGGGTAGAATCAGTCCACATGGGCTTAAGACAAGGATGTGTGGAATCAACCGGGCCAGGCTGGGGCCGACTGGGGCTACCCGGCCCGGGCCGACCCGGTACAGATGGGAATGGCCCATTAGATCCTGTCTCGGTTGGACCGGGACCAACTGAAACCCTCAGGTTCTCCTGTAAATGTGGTTCCACCTAGACTCCTGAAGAGGCGTTCACCTCCATGGGACCATATGTGCTGGCTGAAGTACCTGGCACTTCCAAACACACAGTGGTGCTGGTGGTGTCCAACAAGCCTGGTCCTGACTCCAGCTTGTTTTAGCTAGTGTGGCTTTTAAAACGTCACGTAATGAACACGTTCCCTCTGGACCAAGATGCTTCCACAGTACCCAATCCACCCATCTCAGGGGGTTTTAACCTTCCTGCAGACTTCGGGTCAATTCTGACCGACTTAAGACATTTGTTCTCTGCAGCTCACCACCCCTGTGGGGAGCGGTGAGCCCCGTGGGGAGCGGTGAGCCCTAGAGGTGGGAAAAAAGATTGATTATAAGATGCATCGCGATTCAGCCGTGCATGATTCCGCATCGATGCAGCACGTGACATAATGAGATTCTCTCCCTATGTCTATGTCGGGGGTCGGCAACCGCGGCTCTGGAGCCGCATGCGGCTCTTCCATCCATCTGATGCGGCTCTCTGTGCTTGTAAAATAATGAATGGACATTTAAATAAAATGCTTTATATTTTACTGCATTAATTTTACATCTGTAAGCCAATTCTAAATGTAAAGATTGTCTGCGTAAACCTGAACAGTTCCAACCTGGTCTTACTGTGAGACCGGGTAGACGCGTCACGCTTGTGCGTAATCATATCGGCGCTTTCTGAGCTGAAGAGGATGTGAGATTCTGGGCTTCTCCTCAGACGGCTCCTGGATGTGTCGCCACATTGGAGACAGGAACAAGCGCTATTCAGCCAAAGTTTCATCATCAGGGAACATTTTCTAAGTGACAAGTCTCTCTTCAGTGGGAGGAATCTTCCTGCATGCGCTCTGGTTCTGCGACGTGCTCCAAGCCCCTCTCCACAACTTCAGCTCGCTGTGGACCTTATGTAGTACACGCTGACAGCGAGCTGCGCTGAGCGGTGTCCAGCTCAGATGTTCAGATGGGAATCTTTTCTTGAGTGATTTAGCTACATCTGCGATGTGCGTAGAATAAAGTGTCAGTTCGTCTGCATGCGTCGGGGTAATTCTTTCTATTCTTTCTCCGTCAAAATAAACGGTCAAATACGGGAACTGTCCGGTCAACACAAGCCCTGCTTTTAACTGTTCTGTTTTCTTGTGAAAATTGTTGCAAAGAGAAACTTGATTACCACCAGAGGCAGGCGCACTGCGCCGTTGTCTCCGTCACTGTAAACGAGGGAAAAACAAAATGATCGGATCCTTTTCTGACCTTCCCCACCTACAAAGTTTAATTACAACAATCAAACGTGACAGAGCCTGGATTTGTATTCTGAACAGTCTAAACATGTTTTAAAAAGAAACGTATGACAAAAGTGGCACCTGCTCAGTGACACCACCAACAGGGTGAAAAATATCTAAATATTGTAGCAGAGACGGGCTACAACTTCTGGATCCACTTTATATAAATCGTTTTATTGATTATCTTCTTATGAAAGATAACTTTGACGTACACGAGCGACTGGTACCGGCTGCTGTCACCTGTTGTGAGCAGCGCTCTGCTGTCTGAGGGTAGGCCCCGCCCACAACGCCGCGGCTGCTGCGGCGTTTTCTTTACTGTGGGAAACGGTAATAATGGCTCTTTGATGGGAACAGGTTGCCGACCCCGGTCTATGTCTATGCAGGACAATAAAGTTGTGAGGTGTTATAATTACTTCTGGGGGCAGAGTTGCACTGCGTTGCCCTAGCGCCAGTTTAAACCAGAAAAGGCGGACAGGGATACACGGCCAACATTACCAGTAATCAAAGATGTACCCGTTACATGTAAATCGGATGTCTGGGCTGATTTCGGTTTTGGGATCCTGGATGTGAAAGAATCACTTAACACAGTATTTGTTTACTATTTTTAGGTTCAGTAATATTCTATCTTAAAGCTGCTCTACCGAAAACATTATTTCTTATATTATTTAAGTAATTATAGGCAGCACACTTTAAACATTATTGCTCACTATAGTGAATAGATGAAAGTTCTGTTTTTCAGGGATTTGAAATCAAAAAGAAATTGAAAACTATTCTACTGCTTTTATTAAGTAATGAACATTTTTGTGTGAAGAATCGTGATGCATTTCAGACTCAAATCGAATCATTAGGCAGATGATCGGAATCGGATCGAATCGTGAGGCAGATAGAGATGCACACCACTGGTGAGCCCCGTGGAGAGCGTTGAACCCCGTGGGGAGGGGTTAGCCCCGTGGGGAGCGTTGAACCCCGTGGGGAGCGTTTAGCCCCGTGGGGAGGGGTGCAGCTTTTATGGTGAGCTGCAGCCGCACTCAGGAACCTTCTGGTGTTTAACCCTCTAGCGGGAAGGCCTAGGGTCCGGTCTCTAAAGCCCGACTGGGAACTGAACCCACGCAGTAATCAGAGTAAAGGGCGGCTATGCAGAAGAATATAGAATAACCATGTTTTCAGTTACTTCACCTTTTAACTCCTCATGTGTTCATTCGTGGTCCTGATGCCTTCTGTGAGAATCTCCCAATGGAGATGCTCAAGAAGACAACACTGAATGAGAAGCTGTGTCCACACCTGTGACCTGGGGTGTGCGTGGCTCTGTAGATCACAGCAGGAGTGGACCGCTCACACAATGAAGCTACAAACGTCAGTGGGTGCAGCATCTGGCAGGCCTGTGTGCTTCCAACAGGCCTCTGTCCTTTAAGAATGATGCTAGGTCACAGAGATCCACCACCTGTCCTCTGGCGGTCATCAGGAACACCTGGGACAGGTGGGCGGAGCTCCTACCTCTGATGTACATGAATTCACACACACAGCACCCTAAAGCTGGCTCGGGTCCGTAATGGTTCTTGGACCTTTATCTAGGGTGTTATCTAAGCTAAGTTGTCCTGCCTAGTCCCGACCTGACCTCTGAATTCTCTGTAAGCCTATGATTGGCCCTTCGGGAGCTGACCTGTGACCCGGCAAGCCAGAAGGCGAGGTCCTGCCAGTCCGATACCCAGAGCACCAACGGGAGCTGTGGTGAGAATGGCTAACACGGCTAATGTTAGCACGTCCAGACCAAACGCCACCATGGCATCGTCTCCTTCCTCCCTCGCCATGTCCAGGGCCTTGGAGCCAATGGCAGCCTGATGAAGAGGAAACAGAAAACAGGTGTGTTAGACAAGCATCCAGCTCCGTGCTCCTCTAGATCTGGAGAGTGAATGTGAGTGAATGGATGAATGACTCGCTGTAGCCACAGGTCCTTATCATTTATGTCAGTGTTCCGTTTCTCTACTGAACTTTATTTTGGCGGGAAGCTTTATTTTCTGGGCTGCATTGATGATGTCACTTCCTCTACCAACTTAGCCTGTCTCTGGATCCTGTATCACCCTTTCTTGTCCGTTTTGTCCTGCTTCTCATTTTCAGTTTACATTTTTAAATGTCTCTCTTATATTATTGAATCGTTTTTACTTTTTAACACAATTTGATGTTCTTTATCGTAATTGTTTGATTTTTAGTTCTCGTGAAGCTCCTCCTGGCTGAGAGCTTATTGAAAAGGCGTTCTTCCTGCTCTGTGCTGATGCTGCTCTCTCAGAACTAAAGGTTGCATTGACCAGGTCGCCGCTGTCCACACCTGCACTGTGGCTTTAGGCAGCCAGGCCACGGCGATGAAGACCTTCTCCTTCAGGTTGAAACCTCCAAAGTGGACCAGCAGGAACGTGACCAGGAGACGGATCAGCAGACCGACCAGGATGCAGGCCATTCCCAAACCTAAGCGTAGACGGAGGTTAGGCCCAACAGAAGCTAGGTGTGTGCTGGGATGTTCTGAGAGCGGTTCTTACCCACGGTGCTCGGGTTGAGGGACGTTACGACGATTTCAGCTCCTATCAACCCAAACAGGAGCGGCTGGAACACATCCCATGACTGACCCACCAACGCTGCCACTGCCACCTGGAATGATCAGATGCCATCATCTCACAGACACACCAGTGGGACATGTGCATGGATGAGGTCAGAGGTTAACCTTCTCGCTCTTCCATCCCAGTGCAGCCAGGAAGGACAACACTAACGTACAAAGACCACCTGCTCCGGCAAAACCAACAGCATGGCTGAAGAAGACTGAGAATATGGACAGACCCACCAACATGAGCGTTCTCCTCAGAACCAGGTCCTCCTGCAGGGACACAGAGACCCTCAGAGACATCTCAGAACAGACTCCGTGAGACTAGAAACGGGTCAAACCTGGTCGTTGCTCGGGAAAAGGCACAAGAACAGACCCAGGATCAGTCCAGCCAGGATCCCTCCAACCACCTCTAGAAGACCTTTGAGGATGTTCATCCATGTAGAACCTGTAGGTGAGCCACAGGTCAGCATGTGGAAGGATCTGAGTGGAGAAGATAAAAAAGAGCTTGGACCTGTTGAGAAGGCGATGCCCAGACAGGTAGAGAAGCCTGTTATGGCTAAAATATCATCGAAACTCCCGGCAGCCATCAGCAGGGTTGGAATTCCCTGAAGGCATCACAGAGCAACAATTAGACTTCAGAGGAATCTCGTTGGCTGAGAGAGCCAACGTGGTAAACCTTCTGTGGTATCATGGCTCCAGTAGACCACGTAGGACTCCCTGAGGAGGTTCTGGAGGTCTGATTGGTCCTAGGAGTGGCTGGAGTATCACACTGACCAGCTGTAGATCTAAAGACCTAAAGATCAAAGGCCATGATGGTCTCCAGGTATCTCGTTGTGTTTAAGGTGGCTGTTTGGTTTTTCCGTTCCTTTGTTTGGTGATCACACAGCTCCACATCTAAGGCCGCGGTTCACCACCATGACTCTGCCTGGCCTGTACATCTAACAGCAGGAGCAGGAGTTCAGGTGTCTTGCTCAGGACTGACAGAAGGAGTGATCTAGAGGCGGACAGGTGCATCGAGCAGACCTTCATCCCAATCCTCACCTGTGGTCATGAAGAAGAAACAATCTTTTCTATAGCATCCAGAGTCTGGGGGCCACAGCAGCAGATGACCTTTGACCTTTAGCCTGGTGCTGCACAACCAGTAGGCTTTGGTCACTGGACCTCAGGGACCTGCTGGGGGTGTAGGGACTAAGAAGATCACCAATGTAAGATGGTGCTTGTCCATGTAAGGCCCTATAGACCAGAACCAGGATCTTGAAATGAACCCTGAAGTTGACTGGCAGCCAGTGAAGCTGGAGGAGAAGCGGGGTGATGTGGGTGTGTTTGGAGGACTTGGTCAGAAGCCGAGCACAGGCGTTCTGAACCACCTGTAGACGGTTCAGGGAGGTTCTGCTCAGACACGTGAAAAGAGAGTTACAGTAGTCTAAGCGTGAGGAGATGAAGGGGTGGAGAACTGTCTCAAGTTCAGAGCGGGACAGAATGGGACTCAGCTTAGCAACGAGCTGTGAGTAAAGACTGTCAGGCAGCTCAGCCTTAGGGAAGGGGAGGCAGGGTTCAGATTACAGGGGAGCCAAGGGGAGCCCGGCTCCCCTAGAAGCCCTCAACTTACACACCCAGCGGTGCATGTGAAAGATCCTATGTCACATGGGTTAGGATTGTTGATGCGCTCCAGACAGACGCATCCTGCCCACGGCCACTGTACTGCTCTCTAAGTGGCGCCACCTAAAGGACACGATTAACATGCAATCGTTCATGTCTGCTCATATTCTCCGGTACTTTCTGTCTGTTGTTTGAGTCTTAGAGCCAGGCAGCGGGCACGCCTCTGCCTTTGTGGTCCATAGATCCTTTGGTCTGCTTCGTTCTGAAGTAACTCATGAGCAGTTTAACGGCGTTCTCTTTTAGGTAACAAGGTAATGTAATTAATTACTTCTCCCATCGTTGCAACGCCATTACAGGTACTGGGTATGCAAAGAAGTGAGTTACTACAGTGTGGATATTCCAGATATGTAATTCTACTGTTCCTGGAAGAAATGAGCATTCCAGGTATTCATGAGAACATTCTTACTGAATGAACTGTTCAGATGACTGACTCGTTCATTCTAGATGGTAAGAATCATTCAGTTGTAAAACTCGTAGATATTATAGAACGTAACTGTGCTATCGAACATAAAAGTAATATTACAGTTACTTTTCTAAGTAACTAATTACTTTTACAATGGGAAAAAGTAATTAGTTACCATAACTGATTACTTTTCTAACACAAGATGCTGAACACAGGCCATGAGGTGGAAAAGCAGGAAGCAAGGCCACAGCTTCTGTGTGGGACGGAGACGGGCTGCAGGAAGGCCGGAGACGGGCAGGACAGGAAGGCCGGAGACGGGCAGGACAGGAACTAAAACTAGAAAACAAACAAAGAGCTGGAGGCGCTGCAGCCGGAGCTCTGATGAAAGGGAGGCCACATCTCTGCTGTCTGAGCTTCCCTACACTGGCTGCCTGTTAAATGAGCGTCAGGGTGACTGCTGAAGACTCTCGTCAGGTGAGCGGGGGTGCTTTCCAAAGGTGAGGAGCAGCGTCCCCTCTCGCCTCATACATCGTTTTGGGGTGCAGAGCCGTGGCGGTCAGCTGATCTAAGGGAACGCACCGGCACATACAGGGAGTGCAGAAGCATTAGGCACGTTGTATTTTTGAGGAATAATTTTATTATTGAACAACAACCATGTTCTCAATGAACCCAAACAACTGATTCATATCAAAGCTGAATATTTTTGGAAGTAGTTTTTAGTTTGTTTGTAGTTGTAGCTATTTTAGGGTGATATGTGTGTGTGCAGGTGACTATTACTGTGCATAATTATTAGGCAACTCAACAAAAAACAAATATATTCCCATTTCAATTATTTATGTTCACCAGTGAAACCAATATAACATCTCCACACTCCCAAATATACATTTCTGACATTCAAAAACAATACAACATCAAATCAGCGACCAGCATAGCCACCTTTCTTTGCAAGGACACTCAGAAGCCTGCCATCCATGGATTCTGTCAGTGTTTTGATCTGTTCACCATCAACATTGCGTGCAGCAGCAACCACAGCCTCCCAGACATGGTTCAGAGAGGTGTACCGTTTTCTCTCCTTGCAAATCTCACATTTGATGATGACCACAGGTTCTCAGTGGGGTTCAGATCAGGTGAACAAGGAGGCCATGTCATTAGTTTTTCTTCTTTTATACCCTTTCTTGCCAGCCACGCTGTGGAGTACTTGGACACGTGTGATGGAGCGTTGTCCTGCATGAAAATCATGTTTTTCTTGAAGGATGCAGACTGCTTCCTGTACCACTGCTTGAAGAAGGTGTCTTCCAGAAACTGGCAGTAGGACTGGGAGTTGAGCTGGACTCCATCCTCAACCCGAAAAGGCCCCACAAGCTCATCTTTGATGATACCAGCCCAAACCAGTACTCCACCTCCACCTTGCTGGCGTCTGAGTGGGACTGGAGCTCTCTGCCCTTTACCAGTCCAGCCACGGGCCCATCCATCTGGCCCATCAAGACTCACTCTCATGTCATCAGTCCATAAAACCTTAGAAACATCAGTCTGGAGGTATTTCTTGGCCCAGTCTTGACGTTTCAGCTTGTGTGTCTTGTTCAGTGGTGGTCGTCTTTCAGCCTTTCTCACCTTGGCCATGTCTCTGAGTATTGCACACCTTGTGCTTTTGGGCACTCCAGTGATGTTGCAGCTCTGAAATATGGCCAAGCTGGTGGCAAGTGGCATCTTGGCAGCTGCACGCTTGACTTTTCTCACTTCATGGGCAGTTATTTTGCGCCTTGGTTTGTCCACACGCTTCTTGCGACCCTGTTGACTATTTTGAATGAAACGCTTGATTGTTCGATGATCACGCTTCAGAAGCTTTGCAATTTTAAGACTGTTGCATCCCTCTTCAAGATATCTCACTATCTTTGACCTTTCTGAGCCTGTCAAGTCCTTCTTTTGACCCATTTTGCCAAAGGAAAGGAAGTTGCCTAATAATTATGCACACCTGATATAGGGTGTTGATGTCATTAGGCCACACCCCTTCTCATTACAGAGATGCACATCACCTAATATGCTTAAATGGTAGCAGGCTTTCGAGCCTAGACAGCTTGGAGTAAGACAACATGCATGAAAAGGATGACGTGGACAAAATACTCATTTGCCTAATAATTCTGCACTCCCTGTATGGTGTAAGGACTTCTGACAGATGCAGGGCTGCTAGGCCATTTAACGTCTTGTAGACAAACAGTAAGATCATAAAGCGAGCACTGAAGTCACAGGCAGCCAGTGTAAACGTGACCAAGCTGGGGTAACGCGACAGCATCTATAGGCAGCCTGTCCAACGCCCAATAAGGAGCACCAGTGAGTAGTGAGTCTGCATCATCCTCCATTGCTTGTTCCACAATCCGTCTCCTCACCAACACACCTAGGCGGAGCCATATTACTCCCATTCTCTTAGAACTGCACTAACTTCCTGTGTTTTTCAGGATAAAATTCTAAATCATAATGTTCACGTTCACGAGCATCCATGGCCTCTGTCCTGCTTATCTCTGACTCCTTGTCCAAACGTCGGCTAACACGGGCCACTAGATAGAGCACAGCATTAAAGCACAAGAGGTTTGCAGCCAACCACACTTTTACCTCAGAAAGACACTTTCAAACTAAAGCGCCTGCTTCCTGTTCTTTCATGGCCAGATAAAGCTGACAGTCATCAGCATAAATGTAGTGGCTAATGCTATGATGTTTAAAAGTCTGACCCAAAGGTTAAAGATAGATAGAAAATAGGAGGGGGCCCAGGACAGAGCCCTGAGGAACCCCCATTTCACAGGCAGGAAAGGTGAGGCACAACCCCCGAGCTGCACACCTATTCCCTAGGTATGAGCTAAGCCAGTCCAGCACAGAGTCCGAGAGACCAACGCATGACTTTAGACGATCCAGCAGCATTCTGTGGTCAACAGTGTCAAACGCTGCCGACGGGTCCGACGGCACCAAAAGGACATGTGACCCTGACTAACACTCAACCAGTATATTGTTTAATACACGAATCAATGCTGATTCAGTGCTATGGTGGGGTTTGAAATACATCAAACAGCGTATACTGCTGACAATAACACTTTACTC